TGCACGTGAATGAGTTCTAGTGATTCAAGTGAATTTGTTAAACAAGTTGTTAGCCCCAAAAACAGGCTGCATTCCCGTTTGATAACGCTTGCTTATCGCAAGCGTAATAAACTGTAAGAGCATATCCAAGTGTGGTGTAGTAAAACGCTTAAGTTGTAGCGGGTTGTTCACTCTCAGATCAATTTTCGTATAATTGGTCTATAAATGAATCACGACCAGAAGGGATTTGAGATGATACAACAATTAAATCCGCACTAGTTTTTTTTTCAGGTACCTTAAGTTGCGCAAAAAAAAAAGAAAGAAAACAATTGTATCGAATGCAGGTCAACTCATAATGTTAGTTTTACGCGCATTGAATTAGGCAGCATACAAGACCTACAGAAAAATGATTTCACGTGAAAAAAAAACTAAAAACTAAAAAATTCTTAAATGTCCAAATTTTTGTGAATTGTCAAAATTTCTCAGCTATAAAAGCGTTTCTTCTTCATTTTGCTCCTCTTGAATGTAATTACCACAGAGTATCTGCATGAAAACCTTATCTTTTTCATGGGTGAGGATGCAGAGCTCACTAAAATCGTTTTCTCTTTTTTAAAAGTACAATTGAGGAAAGCTCTGATTCGAGTGGAAACTAACATTTTGTTCTGCCACACTTAGCATTCACTCGTTTTAAGTACTTTTTTGTCTATTCTGTGGAAGAATGTCTTTAAATTCTTTATATCTTTCACATTTCTAACAAAGATCTTGTTATGACTTTTGTCGGTTTTTAGGCAAAAAATAAGTACTGCAAAACCATGGTCTATCAGTAGAAGCGATCAAAAAATCTTGATCGGTTTAGATTTCTGCTGCAACAAAAACGCTGCATTTTTTCATGTGTTTGTGGAAAAATGGTGTCAGAATGATTGTTTTCAGGGATGTTTTTGGTGATTAAACTGTCAATTCTGTGGCTATCTAGTAAGTTAAATGTTTTTAAACAACAATTTAGCTACTAATAAAATTTAGTACAAACCCTGCTCATCCAACAGCGCGAACACGCACGCAAACATTGAAGAACCCTCCCTCAAAACATCCTGAGGTACTTGTACAGCAATAACAACTCGAGTTTAGTTTACGAAAGGTTTAAGTCGTGCAGATTGTGGTCTGTTTGGACCAAAAGGGAAAGCTTTGAACTACAAAGAAATCTTAAACTACAAACATTAAAAAGAGACATAAATTTTGTTTTTCATTTTTTCTATTTTTTGGATATTTCTTTAAAGAACAGGCGACCTAGTTTGATGAAACACTGCAACAACGAAATGCAATGCTATGTGCACGCACACATATCATTGCAAGCTAGCAGACAGAAAAGTGAACAAAAAACAAAAAGTCGAAAAACAATTAGAAAATTTCGATGAAACCATAACTGCAAAAATTTCAGAAAATTGTCTGGAATGATGTTCAATTTAAAACCACAACAACTGGCGTTTGATAAGTATTCAGATATAAAAACTGATCGGCAATTAGGCGCAAAAATTGATAAGATTCCGGTTGAGCGAAATTGTTCTCAATTGAAACACATTTGAAAGTTCCAAAAATCTAAATTTTTACGCTTTTCCCTAACGCACAAAAGCGTAAAAATCTATTTTCTTTAAAGACAACGGTTAACTAGGTCACCGACTTGATAAAACCTAGTAAGTGTACAGTAAAATTACAGTAACAAATCAAAACTGTTTCAGTTACAATACAAAATTACTCACAGCCCAGCAATAATTCGTAACAAGGCAACCAAGCCGACCAAACATAAGCAGACACGCAACAGAACGAAAATTTTTGAAGCAGAATTTTTCTCTTTGAATAAAAAAAATTCTGGCCAGATTCGAACACAGGATCTTTATCACCTCAGGCGTAGTATTTTTAGCCAAAAAACAAGTGCGCCTGAAAATTTAAAAAAGTTTGATTCTGATGTAAGCCAAGCTATTATACGTTTTTCTGTAAATGTTTTGTAAATCAGAAAAATTTCGTGATGCGGGAACTAAGCCGACAAAACATAATCAGACTAACGATAGTCCGAAATTTTTTTTGAATCGCAATACTTTGTTTTCAAAAACTAAGTTATTACTTTTTAAAAGAACTGTCACTAGTAACAGTAGACCGGTAGAACTTAAATTTGCACGTGTGCACGTGAATGAGTTCTAGTGATTCAAGTGAATTTGTTAAACAAGTTGTTAGCCCCAAAAACAGGCTGCATTCCAGTTTGATAACGCTTGCTTATCGCAAGCGTAATAAACTGTAAGAGCATATCCAAGTGTGGTGTAGTAAAACGCTTAAGTTGTAGCGGGTTGTTCACTCTCAGATCAATTTTCGTATAATTGGTCTATAAATGAATCACGACCAGAAGGGATTTGAGATGATACAACAATTAAATCCGCACTAGTTTTTTTTTCAGGTACCTTAAGTTGCGCAAAAAAAAAGAAAGAGAACAATTGTATCGAATGCAGGTCAACTTATAATAGTAGGTTTACGCGCATTGAATTAGGCAGCATTCAAGATTTACAGAAAAATGGTTTTCACGTAAAAAAAATAAAAACTAAAAAATTCATAATTATCCAAACTTTTTTGAATTGTCAAAATTTCTCAGCTATAAAAGCGTCTCTTCTTCAATTTGCTCCTCTTGAATGTAATTACTACAGAGTATCTGCATGAGAATCTTATGTTTTTCTTGTGTGAGGATGCAGAGGTCACTAAAATCGTTTTCTCCTTTTTAAAAATACAATTGAAAAAAGCTCTGGTTCGCGTGGAAACTAACATTTTGTTCTGCCACACTTAGCATTCACTCGTTTTAAAATTTTTTTTGTCTATTCTGTGGAAGAATGTCTTTAAATTCTTTATATCTTTCACATAGCTAACAAAGTTCTCGTTATGACTTTTGTCGATTTTTAGGCAAAAAATAAGTAATACAAAACCATGGTTTATCAGTAAAAGCGATCAAAAAATATTGATCGGTTTTGATTTCTGCTGCAACAAAAATGCTGCATTTTTTCCTGTGTTCGTGGTAAAATGGTGTCCGAATGATTGTTTTCAGGGATGTTTTTGGTGATCAAACTGTCGATTCTGTGGCTATCTAGTAAGTTAAATGTTTTTAAACAACAACTTAGCTACTAATAAAATTTAGTATAAACCCTTCTCATCCAACAGCGCGAACCAGCACGCGAACAGATAAGAATCCTCCCTCAAAACATCCTGAGCTACTTGTACAGCAATAACTACGCGAGTTTAGTTTTCGAAAAGTTAAGGTCGTGCAGGTTGTGGTCTGTTTGGACGAAAAGGGAAAGCTGTGAACTACAAAGAAAGTTTAAACTACAAACATTAAAAAGAGGAAAAACAGACATAAAAAATGTTCTCATTTTTTCTTATTTTTGGATATTTCTTTAAAGAACAGGCGACCTAGTTTGATGAAACACTGCAACAATGAAATGCAATGCTATGCGCAGGCACACATATCATTGCAAGCTAGCAGACAGAAAATGAAACAAAAAACACAAAGTCGAAAAACAATTAGAACATTTCGATAAAATCATAACTACAAAAATTTCAGAAAATTGTCCGGAATGATGTTCAATTTAAAACCACAATAACTGGCGTTATATAAGTATTCAGTTATAAAAATTGATCGGCAATTAAGCGCAAAAATTGGTAAGATTCCGTTTGAGCAAAATTGTTCTCAATTGAAACACATTTGAAAGTTCCGAAAATCTAAATTTTTACGCTTTTCCCTAAAACACAAAAGCGTAAAAATCTATTTTTCTTTAAAGACAACGCTTAACTAGGTCACCGACTTGATAAAACTTAGTAAGCGTACAGTTAAATTACAGTAACAAATCAAAACTGTTTCAGTTACAATACAAAACTACTCACAGTCCAGCAATAATTCGTAACAAGGCAACCAAGCCGACCAAACATAAGCAGACACACAACAGAACGAAAATTTTTGGAACAGAATTTTCTCTTTGAATAAAAAAACTTCTAGCCAGATTCGAACACAGGATCTTTATCACCTCAGGCGTAGTATTTTTAGCCAAAAAACAAGTGCGCCTGAAAATTTAAAAAAGTTTGATTCTGATGTAAGCCAAGCTATTATATGTTTTTCTGTAAATGTTTTGTAAAACAGAAAAATTTCGTGATGCGGTAACTAAGCCGACAAAACATAATCAGACTAACGATAGTCCGAAACTTTTTTTGAATCGCAACCTTTTGTTTTCAAAAACTTAAGATACTACTTTTTAAAAGAACTGTCACTAGTAACAGTAGACCGGTAGAACTTAAACTCGCACGTGTGCACATGAATAAAGTCTAGTGATTCAAGTGAATTTGTTAAACAAGTTGTTAACCCCAAAAACAGGCTGCATTCCAGTTTGATAACGCTTGCTTATCGCAAGCTTAATAAACTGTAAGAGCATATCCAAGTGTGGTGTAGTAAAACGCTTAAGTTGTAGCGGGTTGTTCACTCTCAGATCAATTTTCGTATAATTGATCTATAAATGAATCATGACCAGAAGGGATTTGAGATGATACAACAATTAAATCCGCACTAGTTTTTTTTTTCAGGTACCTTAAGTTGCGTAAAAAAACAGAAAGAGACCAAGGCGTAGTTTTTTCTCAAAAGGGTGGATCTAGAAACGTCTCGACGGAAAGGTCTGAACTTTTTAAAAAAAAGAACAAGCCAATGAAAGCCGTTTTTGAACAAATTTTGGGTAAAAACTTTGCGGCTTTTTTCAGGTCGTGCTCCCCTCCGAAAGCGCCTTTAGAAAAGTTTCTTTCAGGGTCTATTGGCCGAGATGGATCTAAAATATTACCAAACAGAGGACCGTTTTGGTGGTGAGGGGTTGTAATCCGCCATAATCCGCCCCTGGTTCCTTCGCAACTCCTTTAGGGAGGAAGGGTATTGGTCGGAACAAAAACGTAACAATAATGCAATTTCTGAATGACTTAAGCTGTTTAATTTGCTACAATATGTTCTATTTCAGGCCAGGGTTGAGTGGTGGAGAAAAGCTGTGAGAATTCCCAAGGTCATATTTGATCTGCAAGTCAAAGACAACAAGAGTGGCGAATTCAAGGCTTTCCTTCCTATTTCAAATTTGAAAACGTGAAATTTGAAGAAACCTTTGTGCTGAATTCTATATTTCCATTTGAAATAGTGACGTGGCATTTGTTTTTTTTTGGTATAATAATAATTTTAGTTCCTGCGAATCGCAGAGAAGCTATCAGTAGGCCTTAACAGTCCTGTCGAGGATAGTCCATTTGTATTATCTCCCCACATTCCAGACAGTGTTATTTTGCTGAGCGAAGCTGTTTTTTTTTGCGACTCAAGGACGTTTTTTTGCGTCTAGAACTTTTACGTGGTACCACTATTGCAGCCAAATTTGGTCAGGTTATGGTAGACCTGAAGCTGGAGGTCAAGTGAGAGCTTAACCTAACACACTATCATTGCCATGGCATGGGATCGAATACACGGTATAAAAGTAAAAACCAAAAAAATGGTCTTCAAACTGATGAGCCTATTTTTGTACATGGAAAATTATTATTGTAGTTTGCATGATTCAGCGTTAAAAAACAAAGCTTTCAATTTCAACCATATTTAAATAAACGGAAGAAGAGTGTTTTTGCGTGCTGAAGAACTCACGTGGTACGATGCAGCTGAGACAGACTAGCTTGCTGGAGGTCAAATTACATGTCAGAGACTGCCTTCTACCCCCGGGTAGAGTTATAAATCAATACTAAGATCAATACTAAGAATTTCTTAAACTCAGTTTATCTACAAGACAAAACAGTGGGAGTTTTTTTCTCTATAAAGATGTAAATAACAAAAAAATGGAATAAAAACAAAAAACAGACTAGATATAAAAAAACGAGCATTCAAAAATGTTGAGCATTCCATTTTGTATAACACTTCGTTTCAATCAATAATTTTCATAAGCAACTCCGGATCTGACCCCTCCCCCCATATTTTGACAAACACTGCTTCAGGGGTGTGGACTGGGGAGGCACTGGTGCAGTGTGTGATTGGGGACCAGTGTGAGAAACAGCCATGCAGTCACGCCGAGGCGGATGGGACCAACTTCTGCGTCATCCTAGGAACAGACACCAGGTGTCTCAAGGTATGCAATCTCTCTTTCTATTTCGGTAGCGGGTGATTTATCTGACGTGGTCATGAAAAGACGTGTTTTCATTTATAAAATCGAAGCATGAACAGCTTCAATTTAGACTGCATTTTTTCTATGTCCATCCTTTTCAGGCGCACCCGCGTGCTTCCATCAGCAGCCAAGTGCAGTTTGAGAAAGAGTCATTCACCATCTTGGCCACTTACTACGGGGAGTTCAGTCTCTACTTCATAGTCACAATTAAGAGCCCACAATTGGAGTTCGAACAGGATCAGGTACGGGCCGGATTTAGAGTCAAAGAGAGTAGAGAGGGGAGGGGAGGGGTGTTTTGGGTGGGCTAGAGATTCTTTCTCCTTAAAATTATTTCTGGCTGTCAAAACTTCAACTTCACATACTTCCAATTTACAATTTGTTTTGCGCCATTCAAATGTTACAGACGAGACTTATTTTTTGCGGTTTTAGGTGCACTATTTTTGAGGGGGTTGCCTTTCAAAAAAAAACAATTAAACACTTTTTAAAAACCGCTCCTCTTCTCCATCAGAAAAATCCTGCACACGACACAGCCTTTTTTTCTTGTTAAAGCCAATTTCTAACCAATAAACGCTGGCTCGCATATATATTGATCAAAACTATTTCCGATGAAGCTTAAAATTATTAATTCAATTATTTTTTTTTCATCAGGAGAATAACGAAAATGAAGACGGGGAAGGAGGAGGAAGGGCGAGGAAGTCATTTTCTGTGACAGACGAATCCTTTGTGTCGCAAAAATGGACCCTGCAGGTGTCGCAAAGCATGTGAAATGACTTGATCGCCATTACAACTTGCACTAAAAGAAATTTGAAGATAAAAATAAAATTTAAGATTTGCACTCAGTGAACAGCCCAGCCGAAAACGAAATGAGCTGAGCCAGGCATAAAATATTTTAATGGAGTGAAGTTTTTCTGAAAAAAATGAATAAAAACTTAAGCTGAAGGAGATTGCTGTTTTCGGTAGTTATGGAACAAATTCCAGTATTTCGCTCAAGTTTTGTGCAATTGAAAACAATTTGATCAGAAAAAAATTGTGCAAAAAAATGTTGTTCCTGCCCCTCTTCAATAACCTTTTTCCATTATTTTCCCGCTTTTGGTTTGCATTGTTTCTGTTTCCCACAAGTAATTTCTTGCTTAAATCAACTTTACTTCTGTTCTTAAACTTGCAGCCACCGTAAAAATGTTTAAGAAAGTTTTTCAATCTCCTGCAAACCCAAATTTTTAGCAATGATACAGATATGAAAACATAGTGATTCATGAAAGGTTTTTTTCAGCGCTGATGAGTAAAATAGACTGCAAAATAATTGGACGAAAAAACTATTCTTTTTTTAAAATCAACAATAATTATCCGAGAGAGTTTAACCCAGTTAATAAATTTTTTCAGGTTCAGATTGCACAGAAGTTTTTCACGTGATTTTGCACAATTTTCATTTTTGTAATAGAAGAGCAAAATTGGTTTTCATTTGCGCAAATGAATCCGAAATGGAGTTGAAATGAAATCAAAGTTCAAACTGCAAAAAAAAACAATTTCTGGCGTGATCAATCCAGTTCAACTTATATAAGTGATAAATTGTTTCTTTCATTAACAATTGAATTTAAAACGAAATCAATGATGTATTTACTTGAAGAGAATAAAAGCAAGCGACAATGTAGTAAAATTGTCTGCGGTTTTAAAGATACAAATCAATGCCAAAATCGGAAAAAAAAAGTTTTTTTTTTCGTTTAGGAAAAAAGTAGCATTGTCTGTATTCATGATCAGTTGAGGAAAATTAACGGTCTGTCCAGCGTAAGTGAAAACTCTTAGTCGAAATTTGAATTGATTCCAAGTTAAAGAGTCAAGATTAGACAAAATAACATCTCTAAATTTTACATTTTAACGCAGTGGCGAAGCTGAGCTTCGCACCACTTGCGATACAAAACAAGAAAGCCGCTAGGTCAGAAAAAAAATTCGAAAAAGTCGGAAAAAACTAGGCTAAATTTGAAATTAAATAAGCATGCCAAGTCGATAAAAAAGGCCAAAATCATTAGCAAAAAAACAAGGGTAGTAACATAGCAAATATCAGAAATAAATCAGAACAATAAAAGCAACTATTTAAGCAAAAAAGAATCTTAAAAAACAACAATTCTACTATCTGACAAGTGAGTTGACAAAACATAAACAGACAAATAAGGAGCCGACAAATTTTTTGTGAAAGTGAATATTTCCAATCTGAAAAGAAACAGGTTCTGTCAGATTCAAACCCAGGGCCTTTGCCGTCCCAGGCGTCTTCGTTACCTCCAGACCAAGTGTGCCGGAGACGCAAAGTAGTTAGAATTAAAAAGGAACTGAGCCTAGATTTACCACTACTTACTTTTACCATTCTGCGCCTCAAGTTATTAACGGGGAAAAAAGCCTGGTCGCAGAAACGTCAAACACCATCGCAAGATCGAACAGTTTGCCTGGCTTTGATCTTCAAGAACCTGTAATCTTAAGGACGAATTTGAACATGTAGTTTGACAAACTACAAACACTTAAATACTCGATTTATTCAGAGTAATTGTTTTTAAGTTTATTTTACTAACTTTGTTATCAATGACTAAGAGCAACTAATCCCCGCCTTGCGGGTCTAATTCAATCTTATTATTATCATTTCATTACGATTTCCCAAAAAACAGGACGATTTTCAGAACTTAATATCTCGAATAAAATTTTGTCTTTCCGGCGTTTTTACAGTTTTTTATGCTCACATCATTTTTTTCCATACCCTTTTAATAGTTTAAATTTTAGTTTTGTGAAAGTTGTTATCAGAGGTTAATTTACATCCAAACATCTTTGACAAGCTTCAGAAGAATGAAAATTAGTTTTGTCTTTAAAATCAGACAGCATGGCAAAAGTTTTTTTTATATACTTCAGGTAAACTTCTTTGCGATCATTCAGATTTTTATTTTTTGTCCATATTGCCTCTTTTACCTTGAAAATAGCCAATAGGAACGTTGAAAATGTACTCGAGACCAAAAACATTGACCGCACTTTTGAAGTATTTTGGATTTATTTCTAAACATAATTATCACCTTAAATTTGAATTTTAAAAGAAGCTACTATTGATTAGTTTGTTGCAACAAAACGATAAAAAAAACCTTCACGCGAGTTAATTTTCTGTCAGGAATTAACTAGGGAATTTGATACTCATTTGAGGAGATTCCTAGTACGTGTTTTTTTAAGTTGTTTTCTGTATTTCGGATTGAGCAGGGTAGTTTTAGATAAAAAATCACTGACTTTGTTTAAAAAATAGATGCCCTTTAAGCTCTTTGAATTTCTAAAACAAATTCTACTTTCGTATTTGGAGAAAGCTATTTACGTCACTTTCAGTAGATGAATTTATAACACTTTAAATGCACACTTATACTTGGGATTTCGATTGGAAAAAAGTTGACATCGCAGTAGGACACTACGCTTCGCTTGTAAATACATTAATTCTCATAAAACATTCTACCAAGCAGCAAACCTTTGCAATTTCGAGCAAAAAACTGCAAATATTCTTTCAAGTTAAGCAAGCAACGTTGCTTTGAAAATGGCTGAGCTTTTGTCTTAGTTTGCACCACTGACCATCTGTTCCTCAATCATACCTTTTACCGACTCGAGTCCACAATGAGATTAAAAATTGAGCAATTAACTACATTGAATCAAAGAGCGAAACGATAAGATTTTCTTGTGCACGCTCTTCAGCATTGATACTTAGCAAAATGAAAATGACTATTTGATGAAAACGGATCAATATAAACATGAATTTATCAAATCGTTTGTTTAGTACAAATTTACACTATTTACAGTTATCTATCCTGTTTATTCCGACCAGCGACGAAGTCAAACAGGAACTCGTATTTGGGTGATACATTACCACTCGGAGACATCACAAATAAACATCAGGGGGTTGATGATAGATCATATTCAAGCACTTTCAGTCAGTCTTTTCCCAAAAGTTTAATCAGTTTTGACTATTTTGAAGTTTTCGCTTTTTATAGCGAAGAGTGGATAAAAGGTGGAGACACTTTCAACGATACGAAAGAAGTTTTAGAATACGCCATTAGCAATCATTAGAAAGCCAAATTAGCATCCTAACTCACTTCTTCCAAATCCAAAGACGACAAATTAACAAACACTTATTCCTTAAATTTTTTGTTTTCCCTAAAACCTACTGTGGTCGGAATATTCTATATTACTTGCACAGAAACTGGCAATTTGTTTTCCTTCGGTAATCGCCTTTGTTGTGATTTTTCATAGTATTTCTCTTCTGAAGGTCGCTTCACTTGAGCACTCCTTCTCTAGCAGCTCTCAATTTGTTGCGAGTCTTGATGAATGTGTCCAGAACACTCTGTACTGTTTGCTGCATACTGTGTCCCCCCAGTCTGTCAATCATATTCATCGTCGTCTTTTTCTTACTTCTCTCTTGTTGGAACTCCTTGTCGAGGAAAAGCCTGCAATCACTCTCAATGTTAACTAATTTGATTGGAACGACAATAAAAGACTTAAGCTCGACTGGCAACAACTTATACTCTAAATAACCTTTCAATATGCTTCAACAACAATATTATTGAAAATTATTTAAGTGACCGGAAACATTATGTTGAGCATGGCGTTGAAATATCAGCTGTTAAACCAATCAGATTTGGTGTGCCCCAAGGCTCGGTTTGGGGCCATTACTTTTTCTATTATATAAACAATAAACCTGATTTATACAATAATTCAAATGTTGTTATTTCTGCTGATGACACCACAACATATATAATGATTTTCGTAATAGTAATAATGAGCTCGAAAATAATGAATTTTTTTCTTGATTTGTTAATTGGTTTGCAAACATCGGTTGACCACCATAATGAAGGATTAATGTGTATCTGTTCACATTGGGAAAAAATTGAACTTCACAACGACACAAATAAGCATTAGCGGTCTCATGCAAACAAACCAATTACTAACTGCTCATGACCTTTACACGGCTGAGTTATACGACAGACATAACTCTCAAAACAATTTGCTTGACTTGTCGGGGCTATCCAACCGGCGTGTTAGCTTAAGGATTTTTTATTATAATAAACAACAAATTCAGCTACACATCAATCACAAATAGGCTTAGGATTCTCTATAACTTTTTGCTCGCAAAATGATCTAGTTATTTTTGACAAAAAAAATTAGTTGACGAAAAGGATTTTCAGAAAAGGTTTCAAATATTTAAAATTAGTTTTTTAAGTCTTAGAAAAAAGGGATATTAATAATTTGCTGTTCTAAAACCTTCATTCTATTAGACTTGATCCTCTTTTCTATAACTTTTTTCAGCGTTTACTACGCGATGAGCTAAAATCATCTTTGAGAAACTATCTAGGCATTCTGTAAATTTTGTTAACTAGTGTTTGTAATATATAGCTAAATACTTCAACTAACTTTTGCATGAAAGTTGTCTCAACCAGCAAAAAGAAGAATTTAAGGTTACTCCCCCTATATTGCTTTCAACGGAACTGCTGTTGTGCCACTACAATACTACATGCGTTGTTTCGGTTTGTTCCGACTTTCGAAGGTGTCGGAATGATCGTGCTTGTGGTGTTTTTTCTCCAGACCAAATTCGATATGTTTACTAGCCAATTTGAACAGAATTTTTATATCATCTGAAAACCCGTGATGTCTTGAGCTCAATTTAAAAACCTGCGATCTACTTTGGGACAATCTAAGCGCGAGATATTTCGTGCTTTTAGCGCGCGTAGGTAGCTATTTAATCCGCTCATAAATAGGTTCAAATTTGATTGATGCAAAATATTTGATGTTTTTAATGCGTTGATAGAGTTGTTTTTTTTTTGATAATTTTTTTTTCAATTGATATTTTCAAAATTTATTTCAACGACGTTGAAGGGCAGTCAGAACAATCAGGGCTTTGCGCTGATACGAGCAGTCTTGTCATTCTTGTCTAAGTATTGTTGCTTCACTGCAGGCAACCCGACATAACTACTTAGAGGCAGAGAAATTTAGCCACTTCACCGCCGCCCCTACTTCATTTTGTGAAGATTAATTGACACAAAACCACTATTTGGCATCAATCGAGAGAGAATTTGGTGATAGTATGAATGACCTACTGGCTCTGCATGATTGTGTTGAATCGCAGCTTGACAGACCCCGTAGCCTCAGTCATCATCCCATACTTGCTCAACACCACTCCATCCTAAAATTAAGCATAACACACTAGTCTCTACACAAATTTATCACATTTAGATTTGGAAATTCGTATTACGATTTGGAATTGTTTAAAAGATGAAACAAATTAGCGCATTCTTATAAGCTGACCAAACCAAAATATTGCCAAATATATGGATATTACAAAAGCATCACAGCTGCGAAAATTCAACACCAGCAGGCTATCGATACATTTTGACGACTAGATGGAGCCTATTTAGTAGGAGACTTTGATACTTTGTCTTGCATGAAACAGATGGCGTGAAAAATTTCAGTGGAAAAATTCCAGCTTTGGATGCTAGCCTGTGAAGTTGGTTTGGATACGAAAGCGATGTCCTCTAGTTCGGGGGATCCTCCGACGAAGAACCTCCTTAGCTCCGAGGAGAGAGACCCGTTGCCCAGAGGACGCCAACAGGACACTTCTGTTTCAATCACGCCTGCAATTAAAATCACAACAAAGTAATGCTTTAATAATACACGAAAATTCAGCTCAGCTCATCAACGTTAAAGATATCTTGTTACTTTTTTAAACATCACAAGAGACGTATAATAACGAATAGCCATAACTTGGTCAAAAGCAGACTACATTATTCATACTGGTATAGCATACAAGAAAAAATAATCAATTCTCTTTAAAACAAGGCTACATGCCTGGAGTGGCTGGTAGTTTCACCCAACCGTAACCCTCGGTTCTGAATCGGAGCCACTGGTCTATGGATAGCACTTCTATGAACAAAGTCGGCCACTCCGAGTGGATTCCGTCTGAAGCACAATTCACAGTTGAAATACTTAAAATCCTACATCATGCACCTACCCTACCTCATTTTGAAGCAACTAAACTACTACCAGGGTTGGTACAAATTGTTACATATTCAATCAATCTCAAAATGATGAGCTAACCTGAGTCTTCCGAATCGTTTCTGAAGAAGAGTTCGAATTCCATCGGAAAGCCAAAGTTACTCACTTCGTCCTGGAACAGAATACAGAAACAGGTTAAAGATGTTTGAAAAAGGACGCAGTCACATTCAAATTCGCGTCTCTCACCAATCTTGTCATATTTTCAGCCGCGCCTGTTTAAAAATGTTTAAGTTGCTGCAACAAAATAGACTTGTTTAATATCTTGCCTTGCCATTAGGAGCTACTCGCTTGTTGCACCTCTGAGTTACTCCTGTGATCTGACATGAGTTGGGATCAGCCCACCAACCTAAAGCAGACAATTCTTCAACCCTCAAATTTTGATAAAAAAATGAATAAGAAGACATTAGTCTACATGGAAAAACTATACTTTTACAGAAACTAAGTACAACAAATGTAGACCAGCGATGTATTCATGAACTTGATTCCTTGGATAAATAACATAACCAATAGACAGTTGGAAAAGAGTCAAATAACACAAGTAAACAAAAATACCGAATTATACATTTATAAAGGAGCAGTCCGAAAGAATGTATTATTTTACACAGAGGCTTCGCATCACTTGCGATTAAACACAAACATATAAAGTCGAGAAAATGGAAAAGGTTGAAAAAAATAGTTCTACCAAAAACTAAATTTTCGTATGTATGAATAGAACTTGATTCTAGGCTAACATGGCGAAATTTGAGCATTAAATTAGTAACGGAACAAAACTTATGAAGAGGAAACAAAGCCTACAATCTTTGAGGAGACATAAGTTGAGCAGAAAAAAAACAAGATCTCATACAAAAAAATCTTTACAGTTTCAAGTCACACCAAAAACTAGAATGAACAAGAGTTGGACTTTAATTTACAATGGAAGTTGCTTACAGCACACGAAAAGAAAAATCTGTGAAGTTGCAACTAAGACGACAACCTTTGAGCAGGCACGTTTTGCGCCGAAAAAAAATGTTAAAAAGTTTTTTTTTAAAGTTTGAAATCCACCTCCCTGAACCTACATAGAACAACAATTGCACTTGCAAAGAAAAGTTGCTTCCAGGTTAAACAAGAAGTGTGCTGTGGCAACTAAGCCGACAAAACTTTCAGCATAATGGAAGTCCAACATTTAATTTTTACCAATTTTTTTTTTTCAATTGCCAACATACTGAAAAAAAAACAAGGTCCGACCGAGTCGAACCCCAGACCAGAGGGTAAAAACGCGACGGCGTTAACTCTAGGCCAAGTGGGAAGAAACCTAGGGTTGCGAAAGTTCATAAGCAAAGCAAGATAAAGAAAAATGGTATACAAAAACGGCTGTTTTATGAAATTTGAAAAAAAGTGCCCTTAAACCTTCCCAAAACAGCCACCGAGATTTTCATATCTAAAAATTGAGTTTCCCAGTCAACTTCACATTATGTGGTCTTAACTTTCAATAAACTTCTAGTCATGAGCTTGTGATATTCTCTTTTTCTAAGACAGAGGAGAAGCAGCGCTTCGAAAACACAAGCTAGCCAGAACACGAAAAAATCAGCTTTAAAATGAAAGAAGAAAAAGCCTCGAATTGGTAAATTTTGCTAGGTATCGGATGCGAAACTGCGACCTCGAGATTAGGAATCTGACGCACTGCACTCACCGCCAGGGTTGCTTAATTATCGCCAAACACCAGTCACAAAAAAATCAGCTACATATGCTAAAAAATTGCCGATGCCATGCAGCAAAAGTGGCACCAATTACAAATAGACACAACTATGCATATATTTATTTGAACACAGAGGCGAAGCTTTGCTTCGCAAACAATAGCCAGATTACGAAAAAAAAGCAGCTCTATAAAGTGCGATAAGAAAAATTAGAAATAAGCCTCGAATTAATAAAAAAAAAAGCTGCGTCTGAGATTCGAACCTGCGACCTAGAGATAAAGAGTCTCACACACTAACCAGTCAGCCACGGAAGTTTAATATGAAACACACATTAGCCAAAAATAAAGCAGAGAACAGATGCTATGCAATTTCCAAAGCTGCAGGTCGTGATTATAGGGAAAATTGCCACCAAATGAGCAATTGTATTTGCGAGTTCCATCAGGAAAAAAGTTCGTACAAACACTTCATTCTCGCTAAACCCCGAGTAAGTAATAAATTAAGCCTTTCAAAATAGCCCTAGCTCAATTAACCTTAAATAATCAAAACTAAACTAATAAAACTAATACTGAGTTCGAAAACGTCCGCAATCAAGTATGACTAGTTTACAAAAAACTCACCAAAGAAAATAGAAGGTAATATTAGCATCAGAAAACTTGCCAAGCAGTAACAAAGCCGAAAATACCTGAGCAGAAACCTTTCAAGGCGAAAAAATTTCAAAAAAAGGCTTTAAAAAAGTTATAGAAACACCCCATCCCTCTCAATGCACACCCGCGCACACAAAGACATTTTTAGCCCATGAAACGACACAGGGAGGCAAAGAAGTCAATATGATATTGGCCGAAAACTATTATTAGAGAAAAAAATTTTTAAAAATAAAACTTGAAAAATATATGAGAGTAAAATTACACCATACTAAAAAAGAAAAATTCCGAGGACGGATATTTGAAATATTAACATGCTCAAAAAAAAATCTGTAGCAGTATTTTCAACAGAGAGACCAGATAAGTCCTGTGAACAAAGTTTTTTTTCGGGGAAAAAAACCAGTACACGATTGCAATACCCTTGTCGGAAAGGTAATTAGAAAAACTTGGCACAATTTTAGATAAAATTTTTTTTCTCCTACGGCGACTCAAAAAGAGGCCTCAAAACTGAAATATTGTAAAACAAAATCTTTTAAGCCAAATGAAGAGAAAAAGAGCAGATTAAACAAAAAAAATGACAAAGAAATTGGAATTGGTAAATTTACAAACAACAATAAAAACAAATTAGCGTGTAACGCACCTCCGGTGCTTCAAATTTTTAACAACTCATAAAAAACCGCATATATTGGAAAAAAGATTTGCATCATTTGAGTGTAAACTGACAACACCCAATTACAGGGTTCGTAACCGCAAATTTAGCTAATTTTTTTATTCAAGATTTTTTAATATAAATCTTGAAAAACCTTTAAATTTTGTGACGTTTTATTTAGCTTCTTTGAAAAAATCTACAAAGAACTACAAAACGTCATATCTCGGAAACTAAAAGCAATGAGCAGTCGCACTTGGACGCAAGATTTGCAATTCCTGAGAGTACTCTTACAGTACCCAACTACAACGTTGGGAAATTCAAATTTTGAGAAACATCAACCTTAAGTTTTCTTAAAAAGTTTTTTTTTGAAAACCAGAAAAAAAACGTCACATCTCAAAAACAACCAAGATTTAAGAAGTCTTATTTGAAAGCAAAATTTGCAATCCTAGACAGTACGCTGACAGCACACAACTACAGGGTTGGGAATTTCATTTTTGTGAATTAATTTCTAATTTTAGTTTTCAGAAAATTTCCGAAAAAAATTACAAAAATCGTCGTATCTCTTGAAGTAAAACGATTTGAGCATTCCTAACTGAAGGCCGAATTTGCAACTCCTGAGAATACTTTTTTTAAAAAATCACAAAAAAACGTCATATCTTGAAACCTACAAGGTTTTGAGCAGTCATATTTGGAGGCAAAACTCGCAGCTCCTGAGAGTAGCCTGACAGAGCCTCACTACAGAGATGGCAATTTCAAAATTTGTGAAATTTTTTTATATCTAAGCTCTGTAAAAAATTAAGAAAAACCTAAAAACCGTCATATATCGAAAACTACCAGGATTTGAGCAGTCATATTCAGAGGCAAAAACTGCAACCCCTTAGAGCTCCGTTCCCTCATAATTTTTAACAACAGGATTGAGATCTTCAAAGTTTTGGAATTTTTTAAAGTCTTTTTTTTTTGAAAATTTTTGAAAAAATCATAAAAAACGTCACATCTCAAAAATTACAAGCATTTGAGCAGTCATATTTGGAGGCAAAATTCACAACTCCTAAGAGTACCTTGGCAGAGCCTCACTGCAGAGATGGGAACTTCAAATTTTGTGACAACTTTTATAACTTAGTTCTCTGAAAAATTTTGAAAAAAATCCTAAAACAACGTCACATCTCGAAACTACAAGCATTTGAGCGGTCATAATTGGAGGCAAAATTCGCAACCCCTGAGAGTTCCCTCACAACTTCCAACAACAGGATTGAGATATTAAAACTTTAAGAACTTTTTAAAATCTGAGTTTTTGGAAAGTTTTTGAAAAAATTATAAAAAAAACGTCATATCTCAAAAACTACAAGGATTTGAGAAGTCAGATTTGGAAAAATATTCACAACCCCTGAGAGTACCCAGACAGCACCCAACTACAGGGTGAGAATGTCAAAAATTAAGAAATTTTTTCAAATTAAATTTCTAGACATTTTTGAAAATCTCGAAAATTGCCGTATCTCGTAAACTAAAAGGATTTGGTTATTCATATATGGAGGCCAGAATCGCAAAAACCTGAGAAAACCCTGACAGAATCCCACTATTGACTTGGTCATTTCAAACTTGATGAATTAAATGAATTTAAATCGGAAAATCGAAAACAAAAATCTTAACCATAGCATTATACGATATAGCTTAGACATGCAAAAATTATTTTGTTAAACATGCAAAAATAAAACGTTGAAAAAGCTTCAATATGGAGAGATAGTGAAGCCTGCATTTAAATATATAATAGATTGAACTGCGGTTTGAAACAAAAAGCTTTTTTGAGTTTATTTTATGAAGTAACACAGGCGAAGCTTCGCTTTTTTTTTTATTAGCCCCCGGCCTGCTCAGTGCAGGACCAACCGTGGGGGAGGGGGAGATGTCATCCATTTCGCCGCAGCCGGTCCCACCTTGAGGAGGCGGATGACACTGGGACCCCTCCAGCCGTGACCGAAGCGGGATTCGAACGCATAACCCTCGTGTTGAGAGACATGTGCCTAACCCACTCGCAAACACTTGCGAGAACACGATAAAAAGTAGTTCTATAAAGTGCAATAATAAAAATGAGAAATAAACCACGAATGAGTAAAAATTCGGCTACCCCTGGGATTAGAACCTGCGACCAAGAGATTAAGATTCTCACACACTAACCACTCAGCCACGGAAGCTTAATGGACACCAAACACTGGTCAGAACAAATAAAGCAGAGAACAGATGCTGTGCAATTTCCAATGCTACAGTGCAATTTCCAAATAAGTGAACACTTTTATTTGCGAGATAGGTTAGGAAAAAAGAAGGTTCGTAATAACACACTAAAGTGATCCCAAAATTAAAAATGGATCAACTGTGTAAACATATTACTAATCGAACGTCAAAGCATATTCTATCAAAAACGAAGGTGCCACCAAAAATTGTAAAAAAATTAGTCGTACTATTACACTACGCTCACTAGTGTACATATCGGACGGATGCTCTACTCACACATTGGTATGTCGAGGTAGTATTGCACGTATAAGCCATCGTACTCGAAGTCCTTGGCTGACACAATCTCCCCGAAGCAGTTCACTCTCAGCACTCCCGGTTGTGGCAGCTCGAACTGATTACCTAAAGCAAATAATAGTAATTTCATGCTTTACAAGTAGCACAGAATACGTTCCGACAGATCATCATAGCAAAAAAAAATTATATATTTTTGTACATTTTTATAGCTTACAAAGGAACTCTGACTTCATATTCTGCCTTTTTTGTCTTCATTCCATGCATTAATTTGGTTACTTTATAAATGTCGAATAAATCAAGCTTCCAATACGATATCAGAAATTGCCGGTTGCTGTGCAAATAGTAGAGAAAATTCCAAGCACAAGATTCCAATTTTGGTTAGTTTTTTCGATTGGCTAGGGAGAGACTCTACTGAGCTGCAAAAAGTTTCAAGACTCGAAAACACAAAAACGCATACAAAATTCCGCCCTTTAAGCAACCTTTTCTGATGCACCAAAGCCAATAAAAAAAAAACCTTTGAAGCAAAAAAAGCAAAATTATACTGAAATCTTGAAACTCAATTACCTACATCTTTAAAAAGTTGGAAACGGCTCTCTCAAACGGTGAAAACTCCGTGCCTGAGCATTCAAACAAAGTCCATGCTGAGGAAAAAACCGACAAAAATAAACAGTAAGAGCTTGGCAGTTACTGAGGTTTCATTATAAAGCGAGGTCACTTTCTTAAAAATTTGCTTGAAAAATTAGTTAGGGTAGAAAGTCTAGACGTGATGTGAAGCTCTAGAATTTCTAATAATCTCGCAAAAGAATTTACCTATCGCTTTGGTTTTGTGCTCCTGATGGCGGAGGTAGATGTCGTTCACCACCTTCTGTTCACGCAATTTCTCTTTCGCAGTGATCTCCTTCGACACATGTTCTATCGTGTACTCGTACACCTCTACAAAAAAAACATGAATCGATGTATCAAGATTGAGCATCTGAACAAACGAATTTTCTGCAAAATGACAGGTACTTAAATCAATCTGACAAAAAAAACATCCTGGACCAGTTAGAAGGGAGTTACCTCTGCGTTCTAGGTCGGATACAACAGAGTACGGAGGTCTGTGTCTGTTGAAATCTGGCGAGACTGTTATCACTCCAGCACTCGACATCTGAAACAAAATGACCGCTAATGACAATATTTGAAGTTGAGAACTTTTAACGTGAGCAAGGTTATCTTAACTAAAATCAGTGTTTAAAATTGATTTAATTTTAATTTTTTTATTGTTGTTTTTTCTTAAAACGTTTTTTTTTGAGAAACTAGCCAATCATTTTAAATCTAGTCACACAACGCAAAATGAGCAAGAGTCAATTGAAAGAAATTTATGAAGTTGACAGTAACTAACAAATCGTAGCGAAATGATTTACGTTAATAGAGCAGAGAGGGTATTCGTTCTCCTGCAGGTGTTCCATGCCTGGCCTGGTGAGGTCTGCAATGACATGGAATGTGGTCCCTCCCTGCTTCAAATAGTGCGTCTGCTCCTTCAGCGATTCACTCGGCTCCTCCACCACTTTGCGACCTCCACTGAAATAGACACTTCTCAATAAGATATTCTCAATTTAATATCCCCCCCCCCCCCAAAAAAAAAATTGGTGACTAAGTTTACCCTAAAGTGCATCTCATCATAGTTAGGCCACGACGTGAAAAACGATTTCTGTGATAACAAAAAACTAGCTTGAAATGAATTGTCAACGTCCACACTTTCCGAATCGTTTTCCCTCATCAAGAACATGTACATAAAACTTCCATTAAGTTGTCCAGTCCGAAACTTTCTCGATTAAACTTAGCATTCTGACTAAATACTCAATTTCAATTACACCTGGATGTGGTATAACATCGTACGAGCACTGCAAGATAAGCCATCAAACTGCTTTTTGCGGGAGACAGAGAAAGGAAAAGAGCCGACCTTTCGAGACAAGACCATCACACGCAAAGAGATTGCTAGATGCTCACATTGGCAGCTATCATTTCTCTCAACATCACTTTATAGCCAGCACCACATAAGAAAAAAACTACCATTTACGGTTTCTGAATGAACACCTGGCACGAATTTAATACTTACACAAAAGTAGGTTCTGATTTCTTAGACGTCTCATTTGCCTCGTTTTGATTTACATCTCCATTTTCTTTCGAATCTGCCAAGCGAATGTCAGACATTTTGTTAGCTAGATAAGACGGCTGCTCTTTCTCATCAGTTGTCATAGCACTTGTTGTCTAAATATACAAACAAATTTCAAGCAAAGGCAATCCTGAAGACAGTAATATCAAACTTCGTTGTAATTGACAGCATTTTTCAGCCAAATTCAGGCTTTCATTTTTTGTTACGCAAGGCTTCCTACGGAGTAAGAGTGTACATTATATCCTAACAACTCACACTCAAATCAACCAATGAATACCATTCGAAAATTGACACTCACTACTGTTTCCACAAACTTGTCTCCTGGTACATATGTGAACAACCTTCTATTGGGTCTTTTGTCCGGATCTCCCCCAAACTCATCAGAACACTTCTTGCGCATTTCCTTGAAGTGGTCGCCTTCTTGTAAGTCGCCATCTTGGATTGCAGCATAATGAGTTACCTCTCTCTAAAATAACAGAAGACGCTCCAAAAAACAATGGCTAAAATTAATACCCTATAATGAACAATTTGAAATTGAAACATAAAATCTTACGTGGCTAAATTTCTTTTCACAAAAACTGACCACAAGTTCTTCTACTTCTGATTTGGCACCTGAAACAATGCAAAAAAATTACTGCATGCAATTATGACAAAGAAAAAAGAGAGTGACGGGTAGCTATATGCACACAGCATGCCTTGACCGCATTAACTTGAAAAAATCAAATTTTCGGTAGAAAATTACTAGTAGGAGAGAAATTCAAAACAGTGAAACTAATTATAAGAGAAAATCAATAATCAATTAAACTAGCGTGTAACGCTTCTAGGGTACTTCGAACTCATAAAAAACCGCATATATTGGAAAAGAGATCTGCACTTTTTGAGTGTACTCTGACAGCACCCAATTACAGGGTTCGTAATTAGAAACTTTGCAAAGCTTTTTATTCAAGTTTTTGATACAAATTTTGAAGAACCATAAAATTTTGTGAAGCTTCATATAAATCTTTGAAAAAATTTAAAATGAACTAAGAAACGTCACATCTGGCAAACTAAAAGCAATTGAGCACCTTAAATTTTCTAAAAAAAAGGTCTTTTTTTAAAACCAGAAAAAATTTCAACCTTAAGTTTTCTAAAAAAGGTATTTTCTTAAAAACCAGAAAAAATCTCGAAAACTATCAAGATTTGAGCAGTCTTATTTGAAGGCACTATTGGCAATCTTTGATAGTACTCTGACAGCATACAACTACCGGGCTGGGAAATTCACTTTTGTGAATTATTTTGTAATTTGAGTTTTCTGAAATATTCCGAAAAAATCACAAAAATTGTCGTATCTCTTAAACTAAAAAGATTTGGGAATTGTCAATTGGAGGCCGAACTTGCAACCTTGAGATTAATCTGACAGCCTCCAACTACAGGTTAGAAGTTCAAATTTAGAAAAAAATACTTTTCGTGAAATTTTTTGAAAAAATCACCATAAACGTCATATCTGGATAACTACAAGGTTTTGAGCGGTCATACTTCGAGGCCAAATTTGCAACCATTGAGAATTCCCTCACATTTTCCAACAACAGGATTGAGACTTCGAAGTTGTGGAATTTTTTATCAAAAATTTTTTGGAAAATTTTTGAAAAAATCATAAAAAACGTCATATCTCAAAAACTATAAGCAATTGAGCAGTGATATTTGGAAGCAAAATTCGCAACCCCTGAGAGTTCCTTCACAATTTCCAACATCAGGATTGAGACCTTCAAGATTTAGGAATTTTCAAAATCTAAGTTTTTTTGAAAAAAATCATAAAAAACGTCATTTCTCGAAAACTACAAGGATTTGAGAAATGGGATCTACTTAACAATCTCCCCCCCCCCTATGGTACCTACTTAAAAATCTCCACCCCTATAAATAAATTCAGTAAAATTGCACTGAGCTTTCTATTGAGAATTCTAATTTTCGTGCATTCTGATTGGTCGAAAAATCGACCAGTTTGATCTACTTAACTTTTTCTTGAAAGCGGTGCAGATTGCTAAGTAGATCCGAGAAATGAGATTTGGAGGCAAGATTCGCAACCCCTGAGAGTACCCTGACAGCCTCCAGCTATAGGTTGATAATAGCAAAAATTGAGATTTTTTAAATTTAATTTTCTAGAAGTTTTTGAAAAATTTCGAAAATTGACTTATCTCGTAAATTAAAAGGATTTGCTTATTCATATATGTAAGATAGAATCGCAAAGCCTAGGAAAACTGAGAGAATCCCACTATTGGGTTGCTTATTTCTTAACTCGATGAAATAGACGCTGAATTTAAACTGAAAAAATCTTAACCATTGCAATATACGGTATAGCTTGGACGTGCAAAAATTCTTGTTAAACATGCAAAAATAATCCGCTGAAAAATCTTAAGCATGGAGAGATAGTGAAGCCCGCATTTAAATATATAATAATAGATTTTGAATGAAGCAATACAGTAATCGTAGATAATACAGTAAATCGTTGAAAACTACACAGAGAGGAAAAGTTGAGATTCGCACTAATCGAAATCCAAAATTGAACGCAAACATTCATACGGCACGTTATCAAATCTTATTTCGATGAGTGAAACAGAAAAAAAAACAGAAAGAACTATTATAAACCTTTCCTCAAAAACTCAACAATGACGCAAGCAACATAGGCTACCGATGAAACAAAAATATGATGATAAAAAGCGATGAAACAAAAACCAGACCATTAAATTTCTTAAACACGGCAAAACTCAACAGTTTTAAATATAAATTTTGAACGGTGTCCCACCCTTGAACCCCGCATATTTGTCCTATGTTTACATCCACTATTTTATCACCCCATAACAAGATAACCCACAGCAAACTGAACCTTCTAATACCCATATTTTTTTTATTCACTTGATGCATTTATTTCCTCAAAAACAATAGCCTTTCGATAAGCTAAAGAAATAAACTCTCGTTCACTCGTTTAAAAAAGAAAAGAGATAACCTATTGAAAGCAACAAAGGACGTTTGTGAAAATTATATTGGTGGACCTTCTAAAAGTGGAAAAATCAAAAGCATTAACTATACAAAAATTAAATTTCAAACTATTACCCGTGAAATTAGTAGTATTGGACCTACCTATCAGAGTAAGATTTTTCTGGTGAGTAGTCTATCATAATATAACCAAAAGTCAGAGTTGTTAACCACAATTTACATAACTACTTCCAATTACAGTGAAAGTTGCCTAAATTGGGACGACAGTTCATGCTTTGGAAGAAAGGTCAACAAAAGTCAAGCGGAAGACTAAATTGAGCTTTCCCAAAAAAGAGACCAGTTTCTATGTAGATCGAGAAAACCCGAGGCATTAGCATATTAGCTCAAGCGCTTTACCACTATACTGACTGGAAGAAGGTTAAGAAGTCTCGTCAAACCATGTAACCTTATCTTTCAAAGGCCAACAAATACTAGCAATATCAGGCGGCGAGTATTATCTTAAACGCACGAAAAAAAACCTCTACGAACTGGCACTGCTTTAAATAAACAACAATTACAGATCGCGAAAACTTTATTGAAACGAGGTGTGAAAATAATCTTGTTTTTTTTCTATGGGAAACCTGATGCTCGAATATTTCTTGAAAAATATTGAGTATCTGCGCAATAAAAATACCCCAACCCTCGCAGTTGCCGGCGTAATTCAGCCCATTACAGACATTGTCACTCAACTAGCCCTATTAAAAAAACGAGAGAAAATGCGCAACGCAAGCGTAAGTAACAATAACACGGTTTACCAGTCTCCCAGCAATTCAAAAAATTTTCAAGATTTGAGAGTGGAGAAAATGACCACGAGAGAACTACTTTATTCGGCAAACCTGAAACGCTAGGTGTGCTAGAAAAATTTTTTTGGTAGGCTGACAGAATTTTCAAAGTCGCTCCTAAAATTTTTTTAGAAACTTTACTGAACAAATGATTATCTTTCAGAAATGGCCGCCGCTTGCATATATGCGTTCTTAACAAGTAAAACGGAAAAACCTACCTCAGTTTCTTAGAAGCCCTAAAAAACTAACCCCTGATAGCAGGCCTGGAAAAATGTCACTGCAATTTAATCAGGCAGCTATTCAAGCGTTTCAGAAAAATATCCGTGTATCCGTGAGTCCAAGCTGTCTAGATGGTTCTTCCATCTTACTCAAACTTATATGGGAAGAAATGCGTACTCGGAGAAAATAGTACAAAAAACCACTACATTTGCATCAAAATTTAGAATAAAACCTTCACTGGCTTTTGAAAAAGAACTGGAAGGTCTTAAGATAAAAAATTGAGGAAATACAAAAAGAATGCGATCGCACCTTAGATGAATTGGATGAAATTGATGAGCTTTGACTTTACTTTGGACTCAATTACAAAAGAAGTTTCGCCCCGAATCGAGAACTCCTATTCCAAGTTCAATATGCAATCAAAATAATGCTGCAGCATCGTGTTTCGCCGGACAACACACTGAAGAGGGCTTGCATTATGGTAAATAGTCATACTCCGTTCACTGTCCGTTCAAAAACTCAGTTTATTTTTGCCTTGAGTGGGCACTAACGACTAACTTATAAAAAATAAATAGTGAAATCGTAGCAAAAAAAGTGTAGAATAGTATGCATGTTTACAAAGAAAAAACTGATTTGCATTTTTTTCGCGCTATGACGAACTAAAGCTAAAGGTTTCTCCATGCGTTCTTTGTTCATTTTCTTGAATTAAAAACTTAATTGCCAGCGTTTTTGAGGAAAATCTACCCTGGTAGTCTTGACTCGCATTTAAAAAATTTATTTCTGGAAAGAAACGAATACGTAAAATTTCTTTTTCAAATTTGGAGATCCATTAAAGGTTCCCCGACCATCAATTCAAAAATCAAGAGCAATCTGGTTCTCAAAACGTTTCACTGGCATTCCCCGCTGAAAGAAAACTTCTAGAAGCTTCGTATAAGAGATTTTGCACAAGAATCAAGCCAATTTCATACGCCATGTGGTCAACAGCAATTAAAAAAACTGTTAAGAGAAATATTCAAAAAATCAACCCACCAAAAACGAGTTCAAGCATACCCAAAATTATTTCCGTACAAAAAAGATTGATGTTTTCCCCAAACGTGATCAATTCCCAAAAAAAATAAACGATGGCTCCATCCAGCGTTCTGTGCCTCTGTTTAAGTACGTAAAAAGATTTAAAAAAATATGAAGTCCACAGTAATTGATTGAAAACAGCTCAGCAAAATCAACCGAAATCATTTGACTAACTAAGATTACTAGCGGGAGGATAGCAAGCAATTTGGTTTTAGAGTTCCGGCCAACATTGCTTAAGTTCAACAGATGACACTAGCCGACAAAAGGAAACACGTCAGCTGATCATACATCTCGACAAATAGCAGAAGCTGAACTGCAAAACTTGCATCTTTGGTGTTCAGGACCCTCTTGGTAGCAGATAAACCAAGTTTGTATTCCAACACAACCTAAAATTCTCGAAGCAAATGGAAAGAAGACCGAAATCAGACAGTCATCTATCCGACGAAAGTATCATGTTCTAAGGAACTATGCAGAAAACTTACAAGCAGCAAAAGCAATCAGGACTCGGAAGAAATAGGCCATAGCCGCTTAAAAATGAACAACATAGTAGCAAAAAAATAAATAATGGAAACTAGCGTAAAACGCATCTCCGGTACTCATGATAAACCGCATAAATTGGAAATAAGATCTGCATTCTTTAAGTGTGCTTTGACAGCACCCAATTTCAGGGTTCGTAATTAAAAATTTTGCAAAGATTTTATTCAAGTTTAAAAAACTATAAAATTTTGTGAAGTTTTTTATTAGTCGTTGAAAAAATTTAAAATGAACTAAGAAACGTCAAATCTGGCAAATTGAGCAGTCGTATTTGGACGCAAGATTTTCAACTCCTGAGAGTACTCTTACAGCACCCAACTACAATGGTGGGAAATTCAAGATTTGAGGAACTTCACCTTAAGAAGTATTTTTTTTTGAAAACCAGAAAACATTTCATATCTCAAAAACTACCAAGATTTGAGCAGTCTTATTAGATAGCAATAATCGCAATCTTTGAAAGTACTCTGACAGCACACAACTAAAGGGTTGGGAATTTCACTTTAGTGAACTATTTTGTAATTTGAGTTTTCTGAAAATTTCCAAAAAAAATTACAAAAATCGTCGTATCTCTTGAAGTAAAACGATTTGAGCATTCCTAACTGAAGGCCGAATTTGCAACTCCTGAGAATACTTTTTTTAAAAAATTGCAAAAACATCATATCTGTAAAACTGCAAGGTTTTGAGCAGTCATATTTGGAGGCAAAATTCACAACTCCTGAGAGTACCCTGAAAGAGCCTCACTACTGAGATGGTAACTTCAAGTTTTATTTAAAAAATTATACCCAAGTTCTCAGAAAATTTTTGAGAAAATCCTAAAAAACGTCATATCTCGTAAACTACAAGATTTTGAGCAGACAAATTCAGAGGCAAGATAAGCAACCTCAACAGAGTACCCTCACAGATTCCAATAACAGTATTGAGATCTTCAAAGTTTTGGAACTTTTTAACATCTAATTTTTTTTTGAAAAGTTCGGAGAAAATCCTAAAAAAAGTCATATCTCAAAAACTAAAAAGATTTGAGCAGCCATAATTAGAGGCAAGATTCGCAACCCCTGAGAGTACCCTCACAAAATCCAACAACAGGACTGAGATCTTCAACGTATTTGAATATTTCAAAATCGAAGTTTTTGAAAAATTTTTGAAAAATCATAAAAAACGTCATATCTCGAAAACTACAAGGATTTGGTTATTCATATATAGAGGCCAGAATCGCAAAACCTGGGAAAACTCTGACAACATCCAACTATTGGGTTTCTAATTACAAAATTTGAAGAAATAAAAACTGAATTAAAATGGGAAAATTGAAAAAACCTTAACCATTGCAATATACGATATACCTTAAACGTGAAAAAATTCTTTTGTTGAAGATGCAAAAAAAAAAAACGTTGAAAAAGCTTAAACATAGCGAGATAGTGAAGCCCGCATTTAAATATATAATAGATTTGATAGAAGAAAATAAAACAAAATAGGAGACGGGTAGACAACATAATCAAATTAACTAGCGTTTAACGCACCTCCGGTGCTTCGAAACTTTTCGACAACTCATGACACAACATCTGCAAACTTTTAGTGTACTCTGACTGCACCCAATTACAGGGTTGGTAATAACGAAATTTTTAATTTTTTTAAATTCCCATTTTAAAAGCGTCATCTCGAAACGTTAATGCGCCTCAGCAGAAATTTGGGGACCAGATTTGCAACCACTGAGAGTCCCTGAGAGCACCCTACTTTAGGGTTAGGAATTCAAAATTTTGTGAATTTTTTTAAACCTAAGTTTCCCAAAAATTTTTTTTAAAAAACGTCTTTTTTTTCGAAAACTAAAAGGATTTGAGCATTCATATTAGGAGGCAAGATTTGAGACGCCAGGGTGTACGCTGACGGTGTAGGTTGTATCTTCGAGTTTGTAGTTTCAAATTTTTTGAATTTCTTTGTAGATAAGTTCTTTGAGAAATTTTGAAAAAACATCTCGGAATCTAAAAGCATTTGAGCAGTCGCGTTTAGCAGTCGCATGTGGCAAGATTTGCAACTCTTTAGAGTACCCTGACAACAACGAACTATTGCGTTGGAAATTTCAAATTTTGAAAAATAATTAATTTTAACTTTCTGAAAATTTCAAAAAAATCACAATAAACGTCACATCTCGAAAACTACAAGGATTTGAGCAGTCATTTTTGGAGGCAAGATTTGCAATCCCTGATAGTACTTTGACAGTACCCAACTACAGGATTGGGATTTTCAGATTTTTAAAAAATAATAATTTAAGTTTTCTGAAAATTTCTGAAAAAATCACAAAAAAACGTCATATCTCGCAAACTACAACGATTAGAACAGTCATATTTGGAGGCAAGATTTGTAACTCCTTAGAGTACTCTGAGGGCAACCAACCACAAGGTTGGGAATTTCAAGTTTTGAGAAATATTTAATTAAAATTTTCTGAACATTTTTGAAAAAATCATAAAACACATCATATCTCGAAAACTACAAGAACTTGAGCAGTCATTTTTGGAGGCAAGATTCGCAATCCCTGATAGTACTCTGACAGTACCCAACTACAGGATTGGGATGTTCAGATTTTAAAAAAATAATAACAATTTTAGTTTTCTGAAAATTTTTGAAAAAATCACAAAAAACGTCATATCTCGAAAACTACAAATAATTGAGCAGTCATACTTGCAGGCAAGATTCGCAATCTTTGAGAAAACTCTGACAGGTTCTAATTAGAAGGTAGGGAATTTCAGATAATTGAAAAAAAAAAAATTTAAGTTTTCTGAAAACTTTTGAAAAAATCACAAAAACGTCATATCTCGAAAACTACAAAGAAATGAGAGGTTATATTAGGAGACAAGATTCGCAATCTTTGAGAGTACTCTGACAGGACCTAACTACAGGGTTGGGAATTTCAGATTTTTAAAAAAAATCACAAAAAACGTCATATCTCGAAAACTACAAGGATTTGAACAGTCATATTTGGAGGCAAGGTGTGTAATCCCTTAGAGTACTCTGACAGTACCCAACTACAGGGTTGGAAACTTCAAGTTCTGTAAATTATTTCATTTGAAATTTCTGAAAAAAATCTCAAAAATTATCTTATCTCGTTAACTAAAATGATTCGGGCATTCAAAATTGGAGGCCAAATTCGCAACCCCTAATTCGATATTGGGCTGCTTAATTTAAACTTGGTAAATAACCACTAAAATCAAATTGGAAAATCGAAAAAAAAATTAACCATGGCAATATACGATATAGCTTAAACATGCAAAAATAATACGTTGAAAAAGCTTAAACATGGCGAGATAGTGAAGCCCGCATTTAAATATATAATAGATAGATTTTTAAAAAGCAGGTATACAGATAGACAGACTTAATTTGGCCTCGAAAAAAATTACTGAAAAATTAATGACCTTGCGGAAAACTAAAGGAAATATTTTCTTAAGCATTGCAATATATGATATAGCTTAAACATGAAAAAATTCTTTCGTTAAACATGCAAAATTATTATGCTTAAACATGGGAGATAGCTGTCACTAGAGCATTTAAATGTAGTATAGATAGATAGATAGATTTGGGATTGATAAATTTACAACCAACATAATAAAAATAAAATTAATATGCAATGGTGACCACTTCTACAGTGATCAATTTCTGTAGAGCTGATTATAAGCCCGACAAAAAGTCTGTATTCCGATTCAATTTGTTCGCAGCTCAAACAAAAAACCCTTGCAAGTCCCACTTTCGCAACATATCGTTGCCATTTCTTTGCTGATCACAGGAGACAACCATTATTCTTCAAGAGAACGTTCGGAATTTGAAAAAATGTGCGTTCTATAAGAAGACAAGTGCGTCACCTTGTTGAAGTTCTAGGAACTTTTCTTTGGCAGATAACTTTGTCCCTGTTTCAGACTCTGCTCCATCTCCAGTATTAAATACTGAAGCTGCTGTCAATTTTTTCAAGGTAACCCTAAAATAAAACGATATGATAATCATAGCAAGTGCAAAAAGATTTAAGGCCAGTTTTTGTACGCACTTTATTTTCAAATTCCCGATAGGATCTTTGGAGCGGTAATGTGCATTTTGCTTTTCGCCACTTCTATATCCCAGCATTTAAAATCTGAAATAGATATCATCGTTTTTATCGACGCGAATGAATCGTCTGATTGAGTACCAACACTCTCTCACACACAAAAAAATATACACATACACACACACACACACATACACACACATACACAGATACATGCACACGCAAATGAGAAATGTGTAAAATTCATAAAACTTACTATTTCTATCTTAACCAGTATAAACCTGATTGAAAATCTGTCAATGTATAATATCGAGGAAGCTTGGGCCTATTTTAAAAGCGTCATCGAACCAATTCCAGAAAAGTATATACCTAAAACTAAATCCGTCCAATCAAACATGAAGTCAGATCCGGTTACTTTAAGCCTGTTGAAAAATTTAAGGCTGTTGAAAATTAATGTGGAAAAAAGAAGGGCTTGAGGTAAATTTCGAAGAAACAATCGTATATTTTACTTAATTAGCTACAAACAGAAAAGAAATTGAATGACCCCAGAAATCAGAGCCGAGTATCTGACAGAAAAAAAATATATCAGAACAGACTAAGACGAACCCCAAGAAATTCTGGAAAAAAGTTCGACAGAAAACGGTTTTGACTGAATCAATACCAGCAATTGTTTAAACAGACGACAGATTAACAACAACACAACCAGGCAAAAAACATTACTCTCTAGTTTCTTTGCAACAATTTTTTGTGGTGAACCAAATGGAACTTGGACTTTGCGAGACTCTGTGGTCACGGACAAAATAAACAAAGATTTATTTTTAGGCAAAAATTATTATTGATCAATTAGAAGATTTGAACGCATCAAAATCCCCCACTCCGGATTGTGAACACCCCATGCTACTTCTTGAACGGCTTAAGAATTCGCAGACACGGAAGTACATAAAGACGGGGGAAAAAAGCTAGGTCCTAAAAAGACTGGCTAGCATCTAAACACAGCTTGACATGCTTTTAACCGTCTCTACCAAAGCCAGTTCAATGTGTGGTCCGTGATCATCGTGTCGACTAAGTGTTTTAGGTGTTCAGAGACCTAACCATCGGGGCATTCTTATTTCTAGAGTGGGGAAGGGGTATTTTGGTAGTAGCCTTTAAGCTGTAACACGGTTTGTAGTCTCCTTTCGCAAGTAAACCAATTTGCCTCCAACTGAATGAGTAACAAAAACACAAGAGATAGTGTCCCTGACCCTTGAGCCAATGGTTATAGGTCCTATTTTTCCTAGACTCATATGTGACTTGAGTAGGCGACTGTTACAGTGTTTTTTATGGCGCTACTGGGTGTTTTTACGACATCAAGACTACGGGATCGAATCCACTTGACACAGCTCCGGGCTACAAGCCCATTCTCGAGTACCGATGAAACGGTTCAACTGGAACGTGTCCACCTTCTGGTTGTACCATGATAGCTTTTTAAGTAAACTTGATAAAACTTCCCAGTGCGCTTTCCGACACGAGGCCTAGCTAACCGAGCAGCAAAAAACAGGTAAAAGACAAAAAGAGAAAAAAAAACAGAGAGATGATGGATCGATTCCTAGATGATCTAGAGAGCTTATGAAGAAGAAGCGATCCAGAGGAATCAACTAAAAGTAGAAACTTCAGCATAGCTTCGAAATTCATTGATGGGGTGAAAAGCGACGAAATGAGAACGATGTTGGCAACATACTAGAAGCTTTCGAAGGATAATGCGCCAACCCCAGAAGAGATGAGACAGAACTCTAGAGAGCTTATGTTAATGAAACCGATGATATACTCATTTTCATACAGTAGGAACCTGCAAGGAGGAAGCCAACAACAGAGGTAGTCTTGGTTAAAGCCAAGAGGCTATACGGACAAATGAAAGTCATGCTCGAATTGTGGCTCAGCAGATCACTACGTAGAGGATTGCATCACTTATAAACAAGGGATGAAATGATTGGCATTTACACCTGAGGAAAAGGACAAGAATCAGATGGAAGAACACGAGTTTAATAGTATCAGAATCACCCAAAACACAAATTAGCACTTGCTGTGGTGCAAAATACAAGGAATGGACAAACTGAGAACGACTTGCAGAAAAAGGCGACAAGTGGCGAGTTAACGACAAAATCAAGGAAGGCCATGACCGAAGAGAGAGATGCCCGAGAGGCTAAGACGAAAAGTTCACAAGGAATAAATTACGAGAAAACAGCAGCAGAGGCTACCAACAAAATAAAACAAGACTTGGTGACAGAAGAGATCGAACAAAAGCAGAAGCAGGAAAAAGAGACGCAACAGCGGAACGAGACACTTTCAATGGCAACACGAGAAACCGAGAAGAGTGATAATCTGACAGTCAAGAGCAATTGCAAAACCTTGAAAATGATGACTGGAAAACCCATCGGAATAACAAAGATTGGGGCGAGAATCATGTCAATTATCACGGTTGGCGCACATGAAGTAACGAGGAATCTGAGTGAACCAAGCGACCAAACATTGATGCATATAGATTTATATGCGGACTATAGGCGCAAAATCAGCCCACAAGCTCCTTCGAAAGCACTTAGAGCATTACTCACGAGAGGCGGTGGAAAGTCAATCAGGATAGACAGCAGATACATAGAAGCTTATGGTCCACACGAGGTCATGTTGAAAATAGATGGAATTAATATCTACACGAAAACGATGATAACGTTTGACGAGGATCTCGCCGGTCAAATCAATGTAGGTTGAGAGGAAATCAAGGCGATTTCATGAAAAATTATTGACCTTGCGGAAAACTGAAGGAAAAATTCTCTTAAGCATTGCAATATATGAAATATCTTAAACATGAAAGAAAAATTTTGTTAAACATGCAAAATTTTTATGCTCAAACATGGGAGATAGCTGTCATTAGAGCATTTAAATATAGTATAGATAGAGAGATAGATTTGGGATTGATAAATTTACAACCAACATAATAAAAACAAATTTAATATGCAAAGGTGATCACTTCTACAGTGATCAATTTCTGTGAAGCTGATCATAGGCCCGACAAAAAGTCTGTATTCTGATTCAATTTGCTTGCAACTTAAACAAAAAATCCTTAGAAGCCCCACTTTTGCAACATATCTTTGCCAGTTCTTTGCTGATCACAGGAGACAACCATTATTCTTCAAAAGAGCGTTCGGAAATTGAAAAAATGTGCGTTCGATATGAAAACAAGTGCGTCACCTTGTTGAAGTTGTAGGATTTTTTCTTTGGCAGATAACTTTGTCCCTGTTTCAGACTCTGCTCCATCTCCAGTATTAAATTTTGAAGCTGATGTCAATTTTTTCAAGGTATCCCTAAAACAAAACGATGTTAATCATAGCAAGTGCAAAAACATTTAAAGCCAGTTTTTATACGCACTTTATTTTCAAATTCCCGATAGGATCTTTGGAGCGGTAATGTGCATTTTGCTTTTCGCCACTTCTATATCCCAGCATTTAAAATCTGAAATAGATATCATCGTTTTTATCGACGAGAATGAATCGTCTGATTGAGTACCAACACTCTCTCACACACACAAAAAAATATATACATACACACACACACACATATACACAGATACATGCACACGCAAATGAGAAATGTGTAAAACTCATAAAACTTACTATTTCTATCTTAACCAGTATAAACCTGATTGAAAATCTGTCAATGTATAATATCGAGGAAGCTTGGGCCTATTTTAAAAGCGTCATCGAACCAATTCCAGAAAAGTATATCACCAAAACTAAATCCGTCCAATCAAACATGAAGTCAGATCCGGATACTTTAAGCCTGTTGAAAAATTTAAGGCTGTTGAAAATTAATCTGGAAAAAAGAAGGGCTTGGAGTAAATTTCGAAGAAGCAATCGTATATTTTACTTGATTAGCTACAAACAGAAAAGAAATTAAATGACCACAGAAATCAGAGCCGAGTATCTGACAGAAAAAAAATATATATCAGAAGAGACTAAGACGAACCCCAAGAAATTCTGGAAAAAAGTTCGACAGAAAACGGTTTTGACTGAATCAATACCAGCAATTGTTTAAACAGACGACAGGTTAACAACAACACCGAAACCGATCTACCTCAGTACCGAAACGAGGCAGAAATATGGTCCGCCGACCCGGACAGGAGCAGTTCCTGTATGTGAGAGCTGACCCGGCTGATCTTGGAGCTCTCACCTCTTCTCGCTCTGTTGGGGGGCGAGGATGTTCTCGCTAGAATTCATAGCGTGAAAAAACCCTGGTCACAACTGATGAGTTTTCTGGTGAACGAAGAAGTGCGTGAAAAACTGAAAGATCGAAACAAAGTTCACAAAATGTTCAGGCGCCATTTTAAAGTTGACTTTTTTAAGTTTTCATTTTGCGTATTTTATGAAATTGATTTCTGCTTTTAAATACCGAAGTTTATGGCAGTTCGTTATTCTTTGTTGACTTGTAATTTCCGATAATTACGGTTAATTTACGTATAAATTGAAATGTTGTCAATCGGTCAGCTATCCGAAACCAATCTACCTCAGTACCGAAACGAGGCAGAAATACTTTCTATGCGGAAATTTATCATAGATCTAGCTTCTAAACAATTTGGATAATATGGCTGAGGAACTAGATAAAAACAACGAAGTTGACGTAGCTTACATGGATTTCAGAAAAGCATTTAACCCTATCCCCGATAGCTGATTGTTTGGAATCCTAAGAGAAAACGGTATCGTTGGAAAAACACTAGCGTGCGGGAAACCGTCTGCAGTGTGTGCTTTTGGGCAAGTCCAAATCCGCAAGACAAATGCTCAGGAAACGAAGTCCCTAAGGATCTGTCTCGGGCCGAACTCTATTTTTGATTTGAACGCATTCAATGCTTTTTGATCTCAATTCCGAAAATTGCCTTTTCGCCTATGAAACAAAACTCTATCCGATTCAATTTGCTTGCAATTTGTACAAAAACATTTGCAAGCCCCACTTTCGCAACATATCGTTGCCAATTCGTTGCCAATCACAGGAGACAACCATTCTTCTTCAAAAAGAACGATTGAAATTTGAAGATAAGTGCGTTCTATATAAAGACAAGTGCGTCATTTT